GATCTGAATATGAGAAATAATAGACCTAAACGATAAAGCAACTTTTATGATTTGATTCAAACCCTGGAAACCTTAAAGAAGCAATTTCATCACTTCCTCTTCTTTTGTTTTCTTTCTGATATTTAACTGCTCCTTCCTTTCTACATTATCTACATACCGGGGTAAACAGTGTATAATTTTTTACCTCTTCTCTAAAAAAAAAAACCCTCTAAAACTGAAATTGGTTACAAAAATCTCCAGTGATATTATTTCCGTTAGTTCATCATCATCATTCTGTAAAGTCAGCATTTCCCTCTTACGAGAGGTTATTGACTTTCGCGCGTGATGACACGCTCTCTCTCTCCAGTTCTTCTTGTCTCGAGCATCCTCTTCATTTAGATCAACCTTACTGTCTTCTTTTTTCACCATATCTTTCCATGAAATCTTTGGTCTTCCTTTCCCTCTTATGCCATTCAAGTCCAGATCCCAAGCTCTTTTCACAGGTTCATCATCTTCCGTTCTCATCACATGACCCATCCATCTCAATCCACTTCTCTTTACCACTTCCACCACAGTTTCTTCCAGACCCAACCTTTCCATGAGCTCACTTGTAGTTTTTCTATCAGACAGTTTCACAGCACACATGCATCTCCCGTATCACAGCTCTTTCTGCTCTCCTCAAGACATCTTCTTTTATAGTCTTCACATTCCAAGTTTCCGTATCACGGCTCTTTCTGTTCTCCTCAAGACATCTTCTTTTATAGTCTTCACATTCCATGTTTCCGTATCACGGCTCTTTCTGTTCTCCTCAAGACATCTTCTTTTATAGTCTTCACATTCCAAGTTTCCGTATCTTGGCTCTTTCTGTTCTCCTTAAGGTATCTTCTTTTATAGTCTTCACATTCCAAGTTTCTGTATTACGGCTCTTTCTGTTCTCCTCAAGACATCTTCTTTTATAGTCTTCACATTCCATGTTTCCGTATCACGGCTCTTTCTGTTCTCCTCAAGACATCTTCTTTTATAGTCTTCACATTCCATGTTTCCGTATCACAGCTCTTTCTGTTCTCCTCAAGACATCTTCTTTTATAGTCTTCACATTCCATGTTTCCGTATCACAGCTCTTTCTGTTCTCCTCAAGACATCTTCTTTTATAGTCTTCACATTCCAAGTTTCCGTATCACGGCTCTTTCTGTTCTCCTTAAGGTATCTTCTTTTATAGTCTTCACATTCCAAGTTTCCGTATCAATACTCTTTCTGTTCTCCTCAAGACATCTTCTTTTATTATCTTCACATTCCCAGTTTCCGTATCACGGCTCTTTCTGATCTCCTCAAGACATCTTCTTTTATAGTCTTCACATTCCAAGTTTCCGTATCACGGCTCTTTCTGTTCTCCTCAAGACATCTTCTTTTATAGTCTTCACATTCCAAGTTTCCGTATCACGGCTCTTTCCGTTCTCCCTAAGGTATCTTCTTTTATGGTCTTCACATTCCAAGTTTCCGTATCACGGCTCTTTCTGTTCTCCTTAAGGTATCTTCTTTTATGGTCTTCACATTCCAAGTTTCCGTATCACAGCTCTTTCTGTTCTCCTCAAGACATCTTCTTTAATTGTCTTCATGCACATTCCTAGTTTTCGTATCACGGCTCTTTCTGTACTTCTCAAGATACCTTCTTTTATTGTCTTCACATTCCAGGTTTTTTAACCATATATATATATATAAAGACACACACACACATATACATGCATACATATACCATCCGCTATTATAACACAAGCCTTTAAAGCCTGTCTGTACTGGTTTGGCCAGGATGGATTAGACCACCCAGCATGGTCACTGACAGGTGGTTATCTCATCAACTCAGCTCTCAATTAACATAAGAAAAAGAGAATCATGGTGGACCAACAGGCACCGCTTAGGCACTGTTTTCTATATAGAGGGAGCAAGTAGCTACAAGTAGGACAGTGGGGCTTTAAACGTCATCCATCCCAATCTGAGACCTTCTTGCCACTGCAATCTCACATCCACCACCATGCACTGTTGATTGTATCCCCAGGGCCCAGGATAATCTAAATCTATGTCCGACGTGCCTCGACAAAGGCAGATTCAATTAGGTGTGACAATAATGATTATTTCAAATTCAATTTTGTGCAGCTGTTATGATTTATTTATTTATTTCATTTCCAGGCAAGATGATAACAATACATAGAAAACATCACAGGGCTGACAAAATGATATACCATTAACAGTATGATATTAAGCACCAGCCAATGCCTGGGGATCACCTAAAAGAATTTAAACTTCTGTCGAGAGGCTCTCCACATCGGCTGGTGCATATATCATAATATTGATAATACATACCGAATCCAATTTGATGCAAAAATGTATCATTAAATAACCAATTAAAGGTGTCAAAGTTTGTTATTAACTTTCAAGTACCGAGCACAAAACTATTACTGGAATTTTTGCACCAATATCAAATACATGATTGATAATTTGGAACTATGGGTGCTTTCAAGCGACACCTTTTTCGTTTAGTTTAAATCAGGGTCGCGTTCAAGCAATTTTTGTCGTAAAAATAAACGTGTTTAAAAAGGCAAACATGAAACGCTGAAAAAGATGCGTTTGTATCGCTAAAAATCGCTTGAATGAACAGAGATCTCAATCATGTCGACCGTAAACAAATTCAGGAAGCACGCGGCAAAGTTGACCTACACTTCCTGGGTAAAACTGCACAGTGTGATGAGCAGTGGCTGGGCTTGAATTGAGCGAGAATCAGCATTGATGAAAAATCGCTTGAACACTCTCCCGCAGTAACCATGCTTTTTAACGGCGTTTTGATTTGTGATTCATGTTTGAAACTCTAGCTTTAAAAAAACGTTTGAACGCACCCTATATGGCTCTGGGAAAAAATGGAAGGAATTAGTTGGAGTGACAGGGTTGCCAACAAAGAAGAGCTGGAGAGAGTGGATGAACAACGAAGCTTGAGAAAAGCAATCAGTAGATGGGGAAGAAAAAACTGGATGGGGGGGGGGGGGGGGTGGGACAAATCTTAACGCATTCCCTACGGGACCAAGTGGTTCCTGTATTAAACATGCATACTTGTAAAACCGACCCGGGACCTGATTCACAAAGCCTTTTCTCAATGACAAATGACAAAAATCAGTGACAAATCTGCTGATAACCAATCAGAAGCAAGGATTTCAGTAGCTTATAACAAAGACTGTCATTTGTCACTGATGTCCAAGTTTTGTGAAACAGGCTCTGATTCTGGACTTGCACTTCAGGGTATCAGCGACCAATTTAGCCCTGGTATAAGCTCCAAAAGACCTCCAAAAAGTTAAGAAAACATGAACATTTTAAATTTTTAAAAAAAATATACAAAAATCTCCTGTATATATAAAAAGAGTATTTTACACTGATATAAACATAAATTTAGATCCTTATATCAAAGTTATGCCACTAGCTATCAGATGCTAAAAAACATGTTTTTCAACAATTATGCATTTTGCTTTTCAGGCATACATGTACAGTATACATGTCGCTATACATGCCGCTGCACTTTGATAAGTTGCCTAGGTAATCAATAAACCCCCAAACAAACAAAATAAATTCCTAGAATGTCATCAGAAGATGAACAATGTTCAATACAGAAAAAAAACTAAGATATTTACAAAGTAAAACAGAAAGAAGAAGTGAAATCAAAGAGATTCAAGCAAAACTAAAAATGGTTTGTAGTTTGGTTAGAAAGGTCACTCGGAGAGAATAGCAAGCTGTAAAATAGAAAAGAGGAAAGCCGCAGGGTTTTCCCCCGTTTTTCTCTTTGGCTACCACGATTGAGGAACCCTGGGAAGTTCATAATGCATGTAAATCTTAAAGCATGATGTTAACTATGCCACGGACAAATGATCGCAAAAAGGAAAGCACATACCGACAAGAACTAAGCACAATGAGGACAAAGTAGATCAAATTTACTTTTCTAAAAAAAAACAGTTTCACAGGTTTTGCTTCAAGTCTTGCCTTTTATGGGCATTTTCTTATCCATGCTTTATGATTTTCCTCTTGCTGTGTTTTTCCCTTTTTCCCCTTCTTTTTAATAATCACAACTAGACTTGTATATTTTTTCTTATAAAGGTGAATAATTATCACCTGATGTACAAAGCAAATACACAATTATGATATGATTAAGCAATATCATTTAGGATAGCTCTCGGCAAATAGCAGACGTCACCTTTATTGACATTCGTAAGTTGAAGTGTCTGTACTTTGCTTATTTAATTACTTTATCGTTGTGTGCTTATGATATTTTGTATTTATGTAATGGGCGATCCAACTTTACAGGTTTTCGCAACCTTCATGGAAAGCCCTGCATGTAACCTTTGTAAATAGAGTTAAAATTTACTGTTTCCTTGTATACTTTAATTTTTATGTTGCGGAATAAATTGAATTGAATTGACACTGTAAACTGATTTCTTAGCTGTTTTGTACATGTGCATAACAATATTTATGTGCAATTGCTTATTTGTAACATAGTCAGCATACATCTTGACTGATTTAAGCTCTGGTAGGTCAATTGGATGGGATAACTAATCAGAAACGATTCAACAGGTATACACCAAAACTGATGATGAGGATGACGTTAATAATGTACATTTTTATACTGTATGAGACCAAATAGCACAGACTTGCCCTCTGAAATAAGCGGAGTTGGTCTTAGAATATTTTAACACTTTAATTGCTTTCTTCGCCTCTCTGAATATTCACCTGTTTGTCACACATGCAATTTTGCACAAAAGAAAAGGCATCAATTGATGAAAGGATTGCTTTGTGCAACGCAATGGCTTTACAAAATGTCCCATTTGCAATCTTGACAACCCTGTAACACTGGTACAGATTAATCTTGGACTAGAAACAATTAAATTAATAATCTTGAAGCCCCCTGTATATCCATCCCATGATTAATACAATGTGGCACAGGGGCATTTATGTGGCATATACTCATGTCAAGAGTTAAATAAACTTACCTTTGATCCAAAGCTATAATGTGATGTCTGCTACAATGTTACCAGCTTCATCGTCACTTAAAACACACAATGCACAAGCATAAGAGATCTGCAATGAAATGAGAATTTACAAAATATATGAATATTTCTAATGATTAATTATTAAATTAGGGCAACTAAACAGATTCCTAGTTTCTTGTATCCACTTCCCTTTCTGGGTACATTTCCGTTTTTATTGAAATAAAGTAAAGAATAATCTAAGTAATTTTACATTGTTTTGAGCCTTTGTTGTGCTTGTACATGTACAAACATAAACAGAATTTGTATTGAAAGTGACTCAAAAGCATATGGTAGAAAAATCAATAGGGAAATCCCAAAATGCATAATGGAATAAGCCAATTTCGTGATGCAATCAAATTGAATGCATTAATCTTTGTTATTAAAGTGCCTTGTTATTTCAGTCAGAATGTGAGGTGCATACATTAATTATTGCTGGTGGGACAAAAATTATGGTTTGCCATACCTAACAACACGCAACGCAATGTATTGCAATGAGCATTCTGACTATTGAAATACAATTATTCGTAACAGGAGACTGAAATCATTTTTAACAAGGCACTTTAATAACCAAGATTTATGCATTAAATCTGATTGCATTATGAAAATGGCCTATCATATTATGGTACCATGAACATGAATTTACATTTTAAAATATATAATTCTATTGGACATTTTGTCTGCTCCTAGCACTAGTAGATCTATCAGCTTCATACAGTCATCACATATGAACTCTGAGATATGGTCGGTACCTCATTGTTTAAAAATACAAGCAGCTATGAACTAGCCAATAATATGCAAAGCCTGTATTGATCATCCAATCTTCTTCCCTGCCTATTCAATGTATGCATATAATTTTTTCCCCATCAAATTGAATATTCAACCATCTACTAATTTTCAAATCAACCACATCCTATTTTCACATGAAACAAAAATAAATAACAATTTGGTTGTAGTGGTGACAAGGACAGATTAGATTCCGTGGACATGATTCTTTTTGTAAACCAATCCACACTTTTATAGCGTAGAGTCATGGTGGTCGATCCCAACAGATAAAGGAGAAGAGCAATCTCTCCTAGGTCCATGGTTCACCAAACCAGCAGACTCAGGAAAGAATAGGGGCGTGTGACACCCACCCCCCACCCGCACCCCCCCCCCCCCCCCCCCCCCCCCCCGCCCTTGCAGCCCTAAATAAATGTAAGATTAATAAATATTTACCAAAAAGGAAGATTGAGGATGTACACATGTAAGGAAGAAGAGAAAGGGTAATGGGGGCATGTGCCCCTCACCTACCCCCCCCCCCCAAAAAAAAAAAAAAAAAAAAAAAAAAATCTGGCACAATCCACATTGAGTATACAATAAAGGAGCCCAGATGCAACTCAAAAGTTTCTTCAACCCTAAAAGCTATCATAAATTGTTTGTTTTGTTTTGTACCGGTATTGGTTTCTGTTTTGTTTGTGAGTGTTTTTTTCCTGTTAAAGAATATTAATAACTTTTCTTCTTCTTTCCTTGATCAAGGTGATAGCTTTAGATAACAATTAAAAAGATTCAGATTCAGTTTTTGATCATCCATGATTGTAAAAAGCTTTTTTTGATTTTCTCAAATTTTAGAAATTATTCTGGCATCATTACCTCTTTAAAGGGATCGTTTAACATTGTTAAATCTGAGATACACGGCCCTACGTGTTATCAGTGTCTGTGATATGGTGTAATATTGAAGCGCTTCAAAATGATCAAGAAGTGCCTCAAAAAGTAAAAATCTTTGATTGACCAGTTTTACCATACTCGTTTTCCCCAATAGACTGTAGTGTTATGAAAACCGTCAGGCGAACGGTTTTCAAAATTTGTAATTCCAATCATAAATATCTTGATAATCAGACAGGCGATCGGCTTGTAAAAGTCATGGGGTTCCTGACTGACCTAAAGGTTTATAATTATCATTGCATCATGAGCTAAATCCAGAATTTTATTTCAGAATCTAAGACAAAGTTACCGGATCCCTTTAAGTCGAAGAGGGCTGAAATTCACACAGCATCACATACATGTACATGTATAGTCATTCCACAAGAGCTATGAACCATAATATAGGACCTCGTGAAGCAAACAGGAACCACGCCGCTATGCTACATGTACAATGTACATATTCATTTAAATGACATAATTTTTGCATCAGCTGTTAAAGTGTTTACAAGGTAAATCTCTAATTTGTGGAATTCCCCTACAATACTCTGTAGTCTGCAAGGACAGACTCTAATTTAAAACATAACAGAGTGAACTGAGTCTTTCAGAATATGCATGTAATCTCACGGACCAGCCCCTCTGCATTACTTTCGAAGAGGTTCCGTGTCTGTAAAGTAGTTTTCCATCCGAACAGAGCATTATGAAATATTAAATGTCACATGCATGCCCATGAAGATGAGAACTGTCGACAGCTCCTCAAATGCAGAATAAAGAACATCAATTACCGGTATTTGGAATATTCTTTTGTCATTTCAAAATAGATTTTACTATTCAAATCATTTTCCTTGACAACCGGCAAAATATTTACGTATCCAGGAAGTTGGAAAGCCTTACAAGAGCATGTTAGTCCGTACACGCCCCTCACTCATTAATCTTACACAATACGCCTCAGCTCACCGCACAATAAGATTACCAGCATCAACAAATTAAATACATGTGTTTGAATCATTTATGTTTATACTGCCAATCATGTTTGGGGTAGCAACTGCCCTTTGTACACAGTACAATGGCAGTCATGACTCAAGTGCCTAGTCTGCAGAAACAGACTCTAATCGGACAGGTAAACACAACTCCACAAAGTCTTGAGCAGAGCCTAGCTCTGTCGGACTCTGGCTGTGTCAAATATACGGAGTCTGAGCAGCCTACATATACAGAGCCAATAGATTATAGACTGTGCAATCAGCGTAGTCTCACAGTGCTGACACTGTTAAGCACGACTGACAGTGGTTTGCGCCTGTAAACTAGCCAAAAACGTGCATGACCATATAAGGAATAAATAAATGTCTGCGTGGAAAAAGGGGGATTACCCTTCGGTTATTTCCAGGCGCAACGTGCATTCTTCTTTCCTCATGGTTGATCATTTCGATGCTATTTTTGGCACGCCCGCTTCCTAATTCAATTCACTGGATATTTTTGGCGCGTTGGTTGCATTATGAAAGGCTTAAAGTGCAATTCAACCTTTGTAATCAGTTTATTAATATGAAAGTAGAAAAATAAGAGGAACAGATTGACAAAAGTTTGAAATGAATCAGGCTAAAAATAGGAGAGTTATGAATGTTTGAAAGATGTCTATAAAAATATTAATTTCAGTTTGTCTCCTAGTGTGTTCTCCCTTGGGGCATTTCCTGAAATATATTATGGACATTACATCAAATTATAGGTCCTCTAAAATGAAAAGACCCTCCTGACTCACAAATTTTGAGTAAAAAAAAAGTATTTACCGGTAGTCATTTTGCGTGTTGGCGCAAATGAGAAAGCTGGAAGGATGCAGCACGTTTTCTTTTCTTGTTCACTTTACACAGGAATTTCATTTTAAATTTTCACACCAAGATCAACAAAAGACAAGAACTCAGCTTCACCTTTGGTCGAAAGGTAAACATAAATATGAACCGGCTAATTAATAATAATAATAAATTACATTTATAAAGCGCTTAATACAATGTTTCTAAGCGCTTAACATAACAAGGTACAACATAAACTAACATACAGCAATAATAATACATAATTCTAATTATAACATTACAGATAATTAAAAACTTACTTAAAAGCCCATGAGACCGACAGCCCAAGTGACTGACAACCCATGAGACCCACACCCTTCAAGACCGATATCATACGAGACACACAGCCCACTGGACCGACAGCCAATAAGACCGACAATGTCAGTCTAGCAAAGCTGAAAAGAGTCAGATTAGGCAGACAAGACAGATGGTCCATGTGACCGACATACCGGTCTTGTGGGCATATATTACCTTTTCTGAGAGTCCACTGGACCGATATTGGCATGCACTTCTCATGGGCTGCCCTAGCTGATATGGACCTTGTCACCTACTCATTCTTCCATGACAGAACAATTGACCTCTTACACAATTGATCTTATTCCACATGACCCTCAATTCTCTGATGTTATGGTTTGTAACAATAACGTACAGATCCTTTGCATTCAACTCACCTGCAGGTATCGCAAGTTAGCACTCACGCTGTAAGACATTGTAAACACACGCATGCATTCAGATAATAGGAATATCTTGTACACCAGCTACAGAGCTATAGTGCGGGGTATCTGCCTAATTGCCTATATAATAGGCAAGTGCACATTTATAAACTTACGTGAGAGTCCTGAAATAGAACTTAATGGGGTAGTATGGCAGAAAAAAAGAGCTTGGAATTCCCCTTTACCAAGATGGTAGAGATCCAATTAAAGGAATGATACCGAAGCGAGATATTGATCATCAAACATTATAAAAGGCAAGCTTATATCCTTGAGTTTTAATGATTATTCCTGCTTTGGTATCCTCAGCAAAGTAGACTTCGACCGCAGCCCAAATTGACACACCGGTAGCTCAATTGGAAGAGGGACATTGAAACAGAATACACATATTTGATCACCAAAGTCAAACCCCCCCCCCCCCCCCTGTATTCTGATGATCACTCTTAGTAACCTCTGAAAAGTAAGCCATGGCCAAAATTGACCCCCTGCATGCACTCAATTTATTAATTTATTAAAAGTATGTGCATGGTTCACAGAACAGGCTAATCAGGGCTCTTGAAATGTATCCTAATTGTTCTTTTCTGGCAATTAAAGTGACCTGCTTTAATTGAACTTTGGATTGCAACAGAATGAGTGGGCAAACTGTACAAACAAAAAGAGTCCATAAAAAGAAATCATATATTTGCATTCTCAATTCCATGGAAGTATTGCAGTTCGGTTGTTGTTGCACTTGACTAACAAAATCGGATCAATCACGACAAGAAATGGGGACAAGCTAGGCGGGGATAGGGAGTAACAAGTTAATTGGTCTAAAAATTGTTTGTCCAAATATTGAATTAATTCACGAGGACCACACTTGAAACTGACTATCAAAATTACTTCCCTTTCTTTGTCTTGGGCAGGGCGTTGGAGGGTAAAACCTGACCCCCTTCACCTTAGCAAATTTGCACTGGTTAAATTTGCGGGGAATCTACAACCAAAAAACAAGCAGTAGGCCGACATTGAAATACAAATTGATATGTTCGAAGATTGGGGGCATTTGTTTTGTATTCATGCCATTCACCCTCTTTATTCAATACAGACATGTATGTTATTATTTGATAATGCAATTATGCTTTTAATTTAAAAAAAATCCCCTTCTATTTCTTTATGGTTCAATAACCCGTCAAATGAATGGCATTTAATGTTGAGACTGCTTTCATTTTCACTTGTATGAACTTGTATTACAGGGAAATAACATTCCTTTATGCTTGATCTTTTTCCGCATCTATCCGAAACTACATGCCGGCTCTTAAAGAGAAGGTCCAGTTCTGGGAAAGGTGCAAAAGCAAAACACTTTGTGAGCTTTTTCATTCTTTTTATATTAGTATGGAAGAGAATCATAGAAACAATTTCCTAGGGAAAGAATGGCCCCACAGTTGCCCTCATGTTCAAAATATGACATGTTACTTGTGTCAAAAGGTTGTAAACCACAACTTTCACGCCACATGTCTGTGTAGTCCCATATACATGTACGGTACACATTTCTGTGTAAAGTGCATTCGACTCTTAGTAATTAAGCTAGACCGAGTCGATTTCTTATCATCATGATTTCAAAACCTTGCCGTATACACCAATACTGATATGCAACAATAACATGATCAACCTTTCTAATCACTTCTAAACCCCTTCTTTCACAAATCAACTGCATGACCAGAACTCAACCTTTAATTTTTAATCACATGCAGTATTGAGAAACTAATTCCTTGCTCAAGATTGACATCGCGCGCGTGTAATCTGTGGATTGAAAATCCCCTTTTATCACTGTCCGCAATGGAATGCCGTTATTTCCTTGGAGTTCTTGGAACTAGCTTTTGTACCGCCACCTCCTCGTAAAAAGATGGAATCAGGATGACAGGTGTACATATCTCCAATAAATGTAGGACTCAGACATGTGTCCGCAAGCCAACTTTTCACGGTATAAAGTCCTTGGCCTTTGCTGAAGGGCGGCACATATGGTTGGGGATTCCCAATCATCTAGTTCATTGTCAACGAAGTACATGTGGCCATTCAAGTGTGTCATAGTCCGATAACATTAGAGCGTAAAATCATGCTATTCCGTCCGGGGATATGCTCCGCCGAGACGACATCTGGCTCCATCAAACCCTTCTCCTCCCATAAGAGGAGAGCCTCAGAGGTCAAAAGGGGTTATGAAACTATTCCAACCAGAGATTTTTTTCAGTTGAGATAGCATAGATCACTTCATCACAATTCAGCAATGAGATTTGACCATGTAAATCTATTAGATTTCTCAAATTTCTAGTCTAATTCTGCTTTCTCTTTTTTTTTTTCGGGGGGGGGGGGCCTGTCTATTTTAAAGTAAATATTTTAGATAGTGGCCTATATTCAGACTATTCTGATTTTACATGAAATAAAGAGAATCTCAGGAAATCTTGACAATAAAGTGAGAAAAAAAATCATGAATACAGCGTACACGTAATTTCAACTTGTATGCCAACAGCTGTTTTCTCTTCAACATAAGGGCAGGGTAGAACTAGAAGGACATGTTTTATGCCAGAGGAAAGAAAACAGTTTTCTTATTTCTTAAAAGACCATAGGACAAAGAAATGAAAATGCTGACAGATAATCTTTTTTTTTAAAGCCTCCAGTAGTCAGCTAAAAACTACTGCATGTACATGTAGCTACATTTTCTGAATACCTTGCAAAGATAAGAAATGAAAGTACTGACAGATAATCTTTTTTTTAAGCCTCCAGTAGTCAGCTAAATACTACCAGCTACATTTTCTGAATACCTTCAAAAATATCATAACGCTTTGATCAAAAAGGAGTACCAGGTCGTCAGATCTATCACACAAGCCGGCATTTATCAATTATACGAAAATAAGCTCCAATTATTTTTTATTTCCGATGCCTTTGCATTTGGCAATTTTGATTCCTTGACAAATAATATCAGTTAAGTAACACGAGATTTTTTTAAAATAAGGATGATGGGATTAAGAGGTTGAGAAATGAAGAAAAAAAACAACATTCAGATCTTCTTTCAGGGAAGATAATACAAAATGTATGGTTATTTTTAATTTGTAATATCTACAAAAGTACTGTCCATTGTTATGATCGGCTGGCGCTCAGCATTTGTTGCTGTTGTTTTTGTTAAGTATAAGCCTACAGCTTCTCCAAAGTATTGATTCACAAAATTTCTTAATCTTATCCAGTTCTAGATCGATCTACATGTAAATCAATTTGAAGGAAACAAACAAGGTGGATCTTCATCTTGGTGTTCAATTTGTCAGCCCAATTTCTTTTGCACTAGCTCTTACGGTCTCTTATTATTATCACATGCAACTAGTATTACCAGTACATGAAAGCTGCATTTGCGCCTTTCTTCATTTCTTATTTAGAACAGGCTGGCCGTCGTGTGCCTGCTGGAGTCGTGGCCGTGGGTCGCGGTCGTATATGACAGAAAGAAAAAGAATATCGAAAGGTTATTCACTTACCATTTTTAAAGTAAAAAGAGAACGGTTATTTGTCTTGGCTAGCTACGTTTACTAATTTCCAGTTTGGAATAACACATCTGCAACATATCAGACCACGAAGGATGGATAATTGCTACGCTGTCGTTCATTTGGACGTCCCATTGCAGAAAAATAAGTCGATAGGACTCCTTGCGCGACTGAGCTGAGCAACAATTATGGAATGCAGTCGTTGCTTCATATCCCATGCTCTGCGCGCTCCACTGAACTCCGACGTAACTCGCAGCAACTTCCCATATGCCATGCTATGCATCGAGCTAGCTTGCACATCGTAGCTACGTCATCATTAATTTTTAGGGATTTCCCCGATCGTTCACCTGTACCGGCTTCATAGCGATAGTCTAGTCAGCTAAACTTTTTTGTACAAATTGCGAAATACTAGTATAAATGGGACCCGAATCGAACCCAATTTATATAATACAACTGTTAGGCTCCTTATTCTACAAAAATATTAAAAGCGATTTATTTCATCCCTTATTTTGTTAGTGTTGTGAGATTTGTTTAAGGTTTCATTTACTTTACCTCTTGTAAAATTGAAATCGATATTGTTGTCAATATCTTTTAGAAAGCGATTGGAGGTCTTTGTATTACAGACTATCCAAGGACTACTTTTGGAGAGGTCAAGTGGTAGTCTTCTTGTTGTTGTTGTTGTTTCTTATGTTTTAAAGATAGATGTGTCAATAAAGTATGTATGCCTGGACTCGTTAACTGACGTATGCAACCTAGATTCAACACACCATATTTTATACTTTCTCTTAAAAAAAAAAAAGGATACATGTACATTAAAAGAAAGAGGGAGATATAGTTTGTGGATGGATAGTTTCTGCACATGCCCACCGAGAGAAAATATGTCAACAGCAGAATTTCTGAATTTCGTTCCTATTCATTCCTTACGTAAGTCGAGAAGTTTTTACATATTTTTTGTTTCTTCTTCAATTGTCATTTTCCCTCTCCCTTACGTCCTACACTAATTAGCGTGAAGCATCCACTAACGCGCCATCCCCGAAATATACCCAAGGATTTTCTCCATTTTTAATAACATTGAGTGTATCTCAGCTGATTAGACGCGTGACACGGAAACAGTCCAGGGGGTGTTTCACAAAGATCCTAAATCGAACTTAACTCTAAGTTGGACTTAAACATTATGGAGAGCCTTTTGTAGCCTTAAAATGAAATATATCCAAAAGCAAAAAATTCAAGTATTTTACATTTTCATAAATTCCACATCAAGAACATGAAATCTCCTTGAAAATATGAAAGATTTTTACAAAATATTTTCAAAGATGCTAACGGCTTTCCATAATTGTTAAGTCCAATTTATAGATAAGTTCAACTTAGGATCTTTATGAAACACCCCCAGGCAATGCAGTGGACTATACTCTTTCGGTAGCATAATACTGTCAATCTGACCGCAACTAACCAATTCCATCTTGTTCAGAATAGCGTCTGTACATGTAGACTATTGAATGCAACGCTGCTTTTCTGACTAGTAATAATGTAATTACCTGATGGAATTGAATTGACCATTTGATTCCGGTGGCCCACTTTGTGGTTACGTTCTGTATTCGGTGTTTCATGTGACTTGCATAGGACTCCAGAGATGGAGTAGCCTAACAGTCCATTGATATTCTCAGCCCCCCCCCTCCCCCTCCCCCCCCCCCCCCCCCTCCGTCACACACCCCAACAATAGCACCGTTATAACCATTTGCATATTGGTTACATCGTAAAAACAAATTGCATTTCGACTTAAAACAGCGGTTCCAAATTACAATACTAATATTCTCAACATGTAGATCTAGGATTCTCTGGACAGGGGGGGGGGGGGGGAGTCTATCGGATTTCCCTATAAATCAAATGGTGAAGGAAAAAAAAGAGGAAAAGAGAGAGGAAATGGAGATGTGAAAAACGGCAATTGAAAGAAGAGGCCGAGACCCAATAATACATACCCACGCGATGGATACAAATAGCAATAATTCCGAGTAACCCCCACCCCGGCCCACCCCCGATGATACCCGTGCCCCCTCAATGTATGGACCCATGCTACGCCCCCGGCCCCCCCCCCCCCACTCAGTGTTATTTAGGGTACGCATATGCTCGTTCCCTCTTTTTGAAAGCACCCCCTATCTGAGGAATGCCAACATTTCCGAACCCCCCTTTCGCGGGCTTTTCGCGGGCTTTTTCTGCCTTGGAGACCCCCTAAATCATGAAAAATGCTCAATGTACCCCCTAAATTCGGAATAATTTCTCAGGAGTCCAAAGAGATGAGAGAAAAAAAGAATAAACACCCCCTTTTTTAAGAAACTACGGGTGAAAAGTCAAATACACCCCTTTTTTTACAATTCTCGGGCCGGACTTTGTCGCACGAAAAGTACCCCTTTACCGGACATTTTGGCAACACGCATGCGGTCATTTCGAAACCTGAGTGGGGGGGGGGGGGGGGGGCTACGCCGCTAGTTCTCACCATACTCGTTCTCGTACCGTACTCGTGCATACATGCCCATGGAGATTACTCTTACTGTTTGTTATCCCTTTCTTTTCGCTTACAAATATTATGAAGGATTTTCTAGGGGAAACGGTGGCTGTTATTTTCATGTTACTTCTTGTATTTACCCGATAAAAAGATACCAGACTTATTTGTATATATCTGATAAGGTAACAGCCTCTCCCCCCCCCCCCTCTCTCTCTCTCATTCTCTCTCTCTTTTTTCCTCTCTCTCTCTCTCCTTAATTCTATCTCCCTATACCCCTTTCTCTCTCTCTTTCTCTCTCTCTCTCTCTCTCTCTCTCTGCCCCCTCTCTCTATACCTCCCCCTCTGTCTATCCTACCTCCCTCCCTCTCTCTCAACGAAGTAATGCAACCACGAAAATTGGAGTGGATTTCCACAATATTCTTTGACAAGTTTGAGTGTATTCAACTCCCCTCAATAGAAAGTGATCGAAATTATGACTTCTAAAAAGTAGATTTCGATCCCTCGGCATCGAGAGAGTATTTTGTCTTCACTTTTCTGTAATAGACGTTTAACTTTTTCACATCTATTTATATATTGTTTCGTACTTTAAAACATGAAAACATGCTAACAGCTGTACTTACAATGCCAAATTGCGATAAAAAGTGTTGCACACCCTTCAACAACGAGCTCATAGGAATTGAGTTTGTTCCCTAAAATGTGTCATGATCAGCTCCAACACCTTCACATACGAAATACGTCAACGAACTCTCATTCAATAATGAATATTATTTTTAAAATATTATTATCTCGAAAGTGATTGTGGTGATGCGGTCGTATCTAAACGGAACACCAATGACGTCACAATGTTATCAAAGAAAACCGAAATGCCGCCTATGATACAACGGTCATGTGACTATCTTATGAAACCTTTTTTTTTTTTTTTTTTTTTTTTTTTTTTTTTTGTGTGTGTGTTTCGTAATTTTCGTGTGGGAGTATAGAGTAATGCAGTGTTCAGGAAAGCGAAACACTTCAAACACTATCTGATCAAGTGTTAATTTATTGATGCCGAGAAATTAAGATTCATTGGATAATCTATAATGATTGGGAACAAGATATAGACAATATCAAATGCGACCATCACCCCTTACTTAGAGGTCCATTAATAGATAGAATAGAGTAATTTTAGAGTTGAATTAAACCCCCATGTGGAATCCTCCCAAAATAGTGCTTTAAACTTTAAATATATTGATTTTCCATGTACTATACTTTGTTTTCAAGACGTTTTGTAAAACAGCCTCTGAGTAACTAATACTTCAACAAGCTCTGCTTCTGGTTGGTTCCTCTTTTCTCGTGCTATTACTATTATACTTCTCGTCTCATTTACACTTATTTATTGTATTGTTCAAATTTTTAATTAGTATTATTATTTATTCGGCAAAACAAAGTGTATATATTACATAAAAGAACAAATCATACAAAACAAAGGATGAAAATCATTTAACAAAAAACATTATCGTGATTCCCATGAGCTTTGGGAGTGGTTTCCAGATAATTTAACGTGGATTTCCTCTCCAAAGTGAAACGATCCCTATACACATAATTTTGTAAACGTGGAGAGTATAATTATGACAGTGGCCAATTCGGTAATTTAGAACTAGAAGGCGGAGCAATTGAAGTTTTCGAATTTTTATTTCTTTTGTTTTATATTTTTGTTTCTCCTTTCTTTTAGTTGCAAAGATTATGGACGCAAACATATGGGAATCCCGGGAGTTGTTAATGAAATTTGAGTATTCAGCGTATCCGGTTTTTCCACACAACTTGACATAGACCTATATTGTTATAGGAGAAAGTCAATAAAACTTATAACGATTCAATATTGAATCTTTTACCCTTTGATTCATTGCATATAAGACCACAAAGCCACAAAAACACAGTTCCTCCAGCAGAAAGAATGTAATCGTATTAAAATATCGTACAAAATAACCGGCATTGCATCATCGCGCCCACACAAAATCAATCATATAATTTCGTAAGGATTGATTTCCATGAGGTCATACAAATTTATTTATGTTTTTCTACTCTGAACAATCATTGTGGTAGTGCCCGGGGTAGTGCCCTTTTCCAATTAATGCAAGTTATCTTTATGTTACGGTCACAAAGGTTCGTACGAACGATAATTTCGTGCGAATCTCCCTGTTTTTCCATTGTCTTCCCGAATTTCCATTGTCTGAAAATCGTTCGTACGGCGTTCGTAGCAGTTCGTAATAGCATTTTTGACCGAGGCTTTACCTTGCCTATGAAACGCGTTTAGCTCGAATGTGTTCATTTTTATGATATCTTCTGTATGATATAGATAACCTGTGTTAGAAACACACAAAAATCAAATTATAGGTAACATTATCTTTTTGTTGAAGAGGACTTACACATTTAAACACAAAAGTACGCATTAGACCGAATGGCAATAAACCGTTATTATATGGAAAAGCAGTGAATAGAGAGGGTATCTACTGTCTTGTTGAATAAGAGTTTCTTTTTAAACACGTAAACACGAAGTATACTGTATGGCAGTAAACCTTTCTCCGTTTTGAATACGAGTTATCGACTTCTAACGCGTATAGACACACATGGGATTGAATGACCAAAACATGTTGTAGGCCTGTATATTAGGAAAGAAAAAGAGCTATCTCAGGGTTAAATACAAGTTATTACTTTTAACACGCATAAGACTGAATGATAATGACGCCTGGACGGATTAAACATAATGAAATAT